GGGAGGGAGGGAGAAAATAGAGCTGACAATGGGTTGCCTAGAAGTGAAGAGCTCCTGCACAGAAATCAAAGCTAGAGAGTTCCCGAGAACTAGCTATACAGGTGACAAAAGATTGATTGATATCTAAGACAAATAATTCAAAAAATTAAAACAAAAATAATCTAAAAATAAACTGACAGTTCCCATGGAGGAATTCTGCTCAAAGGCTTGCTCAGCTTGCTTTCTTACAATAGCTCACGACTACCTGCTACAGTGGACTTGACCCTTCCACGTCAAGATGACAAGCTACAGGAATGCCCACAGACCAATCTGATGGAAATAATTTCTCAAACGAAGGTCCCTCTTCCCAAGTGACTCTGGTTCATGTAAGTGGACAAGAACTAACCAGCATGGTCCCACTCCATTAAAATCTGAGCGTCTGCTCAAAGACCGCAGAGAAAATAGAAGGCAACAAATAAATCTTAATATTCTCCTATTACATGACACCCAGGGCTGTTCTGTGACCTCCATAAATCAAATGTGGCATACACACAGGTACTCACACACTTAAACATATACAAAATTAAAGAGTAAAATACTTTAAAATTTAAATTTTATGGATGAGTCCAATAAACAGATCACTTCAAATATTTTTTGTACTAGGAAGTTAAATACCTCACTAAAAGCCCATTTATCCCATTCCAGGTGCTTATTAAAAATACATATATTTGCAGGGCAGTGGTGGCACACACCTTTAATCCCAGCAATTGGTAGGCAGAGGCAGGTGGATCTCAGTGAGTTCGAGGCCAGTCTGGTCTACAGAGTGACTAAGACAGTCAGGCCTGTTACACAGAGAAACCCTGTCTCAAAAAAACAAACAAACAAACAAACAAAAAACCCAAAACATATTATTTTACAGAAAATTCAAAACTTCAAGAAAGCATTAAGAAAATTATACATCACACAGCTCCCTTTTATGTATATAATGGTAGTCTTAAAAAAAATTGTTCAAGATGTCAAATGTCATCATCGTCATGAAGTTTTGAGGCAACCAACACAACCTGACCCAGCAGACAAAATTAATTCTTAAAAGCTGTAATCACATGAAACTGCTCATCTCAAAACCCACCTGTGGCTCTCCATTACACCTGAAATAAAATCCATACCACCCTGTCTGGCTTAGAAGAATTTCATGATCTGATCCCTGCCTATGACTTTATTTTTTGGGACTTTGTACATCCACTTAGTCTTCTTGCTTTTCGTGGAGGCTCACAAATTAAGTTCCATTTCAGACCTTTCTTACTGAAACAACCTTTCACTTCCTCATCCCCTTCTCAAACACCACCTCACCTTTCCTTGACATCCTCTCTAGGCTCCTAGTAAATGTTTTCATTTTCAGTTACTTCTCCAAACACTTGTTACTTATGTATTGCTCTTAAGAATGGATGCTACCTTGTTTACCTCTTGTAACTAAGTGTTCAATCAACAGTAAATTAATGTATAGATTAATTCTAACACAGAAAATAGTTACTCTAACACTCGGTTTCTTTTACATAAAAACAGAAAGGAACTGTCAACTAATCTGACTGAAAACTGCTGCAGCAAGTACTTACTTGGTTGATCTGCATAAGTTCTTAAAGGCACTGAAGAAACTCCTTGTAAGCCATGAGATATCCGATTGAAATGGCCTCTCTAGAAAAAGAAAAATAAGACAAAGAAAACTTTCCTGTTAATTAAAACATAATGTTTACAATGGGCTGGTAAGATAGTTGGGTAAAGAAGGCTCCTGAAAACAAATTAACTTCCCAAATTCAATCCCTGGGAATCGTATGATGGAAGAAGGGAAATGATTTCCAAAGTTGTGCTCTAACCTTTGCGCATGCACACTCTAGCTAGCATGCTCATGTCTACACACATACATTCAAATACATAAATGTAACTTACAAGGTTGATGAAAGCAAACTGGGGCAAATGGATCAAGGACTTTCTGTTACTACACAGGGTATTCTATCAATTTTCCCTCTTTGTCAATATTAAACTTTCACCATCTTACCTTGCTAGATCTGACTTATTAAGAATATTCAATGCATTGTCTTATCTTAAACTTAATAAAATGTACTCACTGGCTTACAATTTTATTAAAGTTTCAGAAAGCATGGCTAATTTTAATGCCAAAAATCATTTTACTATTCTAATTAAAAGTCTGAAACTTTTGAGTTGTTGTTTAAATACTTCAACAACAATCATTTCACTTGCCATGCGTTCTAACTAATCTATTTAACAGTCTGTAATCACAACATTTATGAGGCTGTTCTTGAGTCACTAATATGAGCAGAAAACTAAACTAGGAATTTACCAACAGTGTCGTGCACCCACATTCTGGAAGTCCCACAAACTACAACATACTCTCACTCTCTAAACACTTATGCCTACGATTTCCTAAGACCAGATAGATAAAGAAAACTATGACAGCGAGCAAATCAATGGAAGGCAATGACAATATATACTCTCAAGTAGCAATGTCCTTTACTTGAAGGCAATCTCTGCACTTGAGATCAAGTCAGCCAACCAAAGAAGAGCAAGCTGTCTGTACTGAGTTTTAGTCCCAGCTCAGATTCTCCCTAAAAGGGCATTTTGCATGTTACATTAATTTTTGAGGACGCAGACAACTTAGGCATGAAATAAGAGTCTGATTTCTGTATTATCGCTAACGTATTCGCGCTACCCTGCCACGACGCTGCATACATTCAGTTTGGAAGTCTCTAACTGACAGGTGAAACGGGAAAGTGGTTTGGATAGACCAATGCAATAATTAAAAAAAAAAAATGCCCCAGGGCCTGGCGGATGGCAGAGGGCACTAGTTTAGAGACGCGTACGCAGACAGGACCTTAGAGCAACACCCAAGGCTGTGTTGGGCCATTCGCGTCTCAAGGTTACCTACCCCCCTACAGGAAAGTAGGCCCGGGTCTGAGCTGGGATGAGGCAAAAGGTATAAAGGGGCATACGGCGGGTGAGAGGGCTGATTCGCTCGTTCCCGTGCCCGGGTAAAAACCTAGGCCCCTCGGTCCACGTCCGGAAGTGCGGTGTAGGGCCGCGGGCAGTCATTCCCCAGCGGGGCCCTTCCCGGCCCCGGCCCGCGCTCCCCGCTGCCTCAAGAGGCCGGGCTGAACCGGCAGAGGCGGGGTTGCGGCCGTTCCCGGCGTCAGGCCGCGTCCAGACCCAGGAGCGGGCATCTCGGCGCCCCTGGCCCAGTAGCACCACACGCAGGCGGCCCTCACCTTGGCCAAGGAGCAGTACACACGACTCCAGCTCTGCATCTTCCCTTGGTCCTGACCCTACCGACAGGGCTTTCACCTCCGCTTAGCCGCTGGTAAGTTTAGCCAAGGTCTCCCCGCCCTGCGCATGCGCGAGAGCAGTACGTCATCGCCCAGGAGCAGCGCGATTGGCCCTAGAGGCGGAGGAGATCTCCTCGCTACGTCGTACACTGTCGTAAAGAACGCTATGCTTAGTGGCAACTGGGAGTTTGGAGACTGTTGCCTAAGTATCTAGAGTAGAGGTGCAGTTAAATTGGAAGACAGACTAAAATAAAAATGCTTGCTCAGTGAAGCCTACAGAAAGTAAAGTTTAAATAAGGAAGAAAATTTGACAATTTGACAAGCTCATGGTTGTGTTAGGCGTTCGTGGACACTTCCCAAAGACTATCTCGCTTTACAAAAACCGTATGAAGTATATTCATTTTCTGGATGGAGCCCTGGGAACTTAAAGAAAGCAACGGACAAAGACATTGGTCTTAACTACTGATTTATAATCTACTTTCAAAAGTCTTGTAAGGGATAGATGGGCCCCAGACTTGGGCCTTTCTTCACCAACACCCTGCTCTGAAAACGACGCTAACAAGAAAATAAAGGAAATAAACTACCTCCTGTTTCTCTATTTTGTAAGCGTGCCTCCCCTGTAGAGCAAACTAGAAAGGGTTGGGATGGTGGGTGAGATACTAGGTTTTCATTGAATATCATGCACCTTAAAAGATTGATAACTTGTCTATAGGTTTGAGCATGGAGGTCTAAGGTATGATTCCCACTTTGTAATAACTGTCTCTAGCAAGAAAACTTTAATTCTACGTTTCCCAAAAGCTCACAACCCAGACACTCTAATGAACCCCATAGAGTTAAACATGGATATTAGAGTTAGATGGAGATGACTCCTTCCTATCTATGCCCATTTTGAGGGAAAAAGGCGAGAGTCAATGAATGAATGAATGGTTTTGATGTTATGAAGAAAGCTAGCTGTTACCAAATATTCACACACACACACACACACACACACACACACACACACACACCCGTGCCTGCCTCTTTTTTAAAAATATTCATTTATTTATTATGTATACAATATTCTGTCTGTGTGTATGCCTACAGGCCAGAAGAGGGCACCAGAGCCCATTACAGATGGTTGTGAGCCACCATGTGGTTGCTGGGAATTGAACTCAGGACCTTTGGAAGAACAGGCAATGCTCTTAACCTCTGAGCCATTTCTCCAGCCCCCAAGAGTGTCCCATGTGCCACAAACTACCGTCAACCTCCATACGCAGCTGAGAAGGACCTTGAACTTAATGATTTTCCTGCTCTCATCTCCTGAGTGCTGGTCTACCACCATGCCAAGTTTATGCGTTTTGGGTGATGGAGATGGATCCCAGGTCTTCTAGTGTGCCAGGCAAGCACTCTTCCAACTCAGCTACATCTCTAACCCTTGTTCTTCGCTTTCATACACTTACGGAGTGTTCAGAACCCTTGTCCTGCCCTTTCATACACTAGCAGAGTGTCCAGCAGGACAGGTAGGCATTCAGAATTGCAACTTCCTTTTCCAGGTTCCATACAACTATATATAGGCATATGACCAAATACTGGCCAATGCCCTTCTTTGTTTATTATATGTTAAATTATTTCTGATAATGAACAATTCTCATTATAGTGTATTTAAGCCAAGTCCAAAACTTATCACTTTTCAAGTTAAAAAGTAGACTTGATTTCACCTTCTCTTGAATATGGAACATCCTTAGGCAAATGTTTCTTCTAATGAGTAAATTGAAACAGAGGTGATATTAGGTGACTCTCAGGTTACAGACAAAATCCCTTCCTCCTCCTGCACCTCTTCCTTCTCCTCTTTCTCTCTTTCCTTCCCTTCTCTCCTCCATCTCCCCTCTTTTCCTCTTCTTTCCTTATCCTGCCCTCCTCCTCTTCTTTCTCCCTAACACTTCTCTCTGTAAGCAGTTTATAACTCAAATACTCTCAATTGCCATATTTATGAACAAAATAAAATATTGTCATTGTTTTAGCCGCTGAGATTTGTGGGACAGTTTTGTTGTAAAGCAATGGATAGATTAAGCCCTTATGTCCCCCAACATTCAGTATAATTGCAACTGTTTTTCTTTCTCATTATGGATCTCATTATTCTCATCCTCTCCCTTGTTGCTATTAAAATTTACCTTAATGGTACCATTGCTGATGCCACTATTCATTATAAAAAACAATGTTCATCCCTCACAGTTGTTGCCATTTTGCCAACAAAGTAGAACTGAATATGCAAATTTAGTTTACATAGAGGGGCAGTTGTTACAAGTCAGTGTCCCAAAATAATGCATGGGAATCAATTTCTCTCACATAAAAGTCTAAGCTGGTATCTCTGGCAGATATGTCCCATGAAGAATTTCTTAACTTCTTTTTCCTTTTGGCTCTACCATTATCAGAATTTTGTCTGGAATCTTTTGTTCAAGATGGTTGTTCTAGTTCATAGTTCTGTAGCCTTATTTGCTTTTGCCTGGCTTTTAATATTATTAATTTGGTGATTTAGCCACAAATAGCATAAAATATCTCTGAGTAACTCTAACCAAAAAAGTGGAAGACCTGTATGACAAGAACTTTAAATCTTTGAAGAAAGAAATTGAAGAAGACACAGGAAAATGGAAAGATTCCCATACTCCTGGTTAGGTATAATTAACATAGTAAAAATAGCAATCTTACCAAAAGCAATCTACAGCTTCAATGCAATACCCATAAAAATCCCAGCAAAATTCTTTACAGACCTTGAAAGAACAGTACTCAACTTCAAAAGCAAAAATACTAGGATAGCCAAAATAATCCTGTACAACAAAGGAACTTCTGGAGGCATCACAATTCCTGAATTCAAACTCTACTACAGTGCTACTGAAAACAGCCTGGTGTTGGCATAAAAACAGACAGGAGGACCAATGGAACTGAATCAAAGACCCAGATATTAATCCACACACCTACAAGACCTGATTTTTGACAAAGAAGCAAAAAATACAAAATGGAAAAAAGCATATTTAACAAATGGTGCTGGCATAACTAGATATCAACATGTAGAAGAATGAAAATAGATCCATATCTATCACCATGAACAAAACTCAAGTCCAAATGAATCAAAAACCTCAACATAAAGCCAACCACACTGAACCTCATAGAAGAGAAAGTGGGAAGTACACTTGAATGCATTGGCACAGGGAACCACTTCCTAAATATAACCCCAGTAACATAAACACTGAGAGAAACAATTAATAAATGGGACCTCCAGAAACAGAACAACTTCTATAAAGCAAAGGACACAGTCAACAAGACAAAACAGCAACCTACAGAATGGGAAAAGATCTTCACCAACCCCACATCAGACAGAGGACTGATCTCTAAAATATACAAGAACCCGAGAAATTGGTCATCAAAAGAGCGAATAATCCAATAAAAAATGGAGTACAGACCTAAGCAGAGAACTCTCAACAGAGGAATCTAAAATGACTGAAAGACACTTAAGGAAATGCTCAACATTCTTAGTCATCAGAGAAATGCAAATCAAAACAACTCTGAGATTCCATCTTATACCTGTAAGAATGGCCAAGATCGAAAACACTGATGACAACTTATGTTGGAGAGGTTGTAGGGGAAAGGGAGCACTCTTGCATTGATGGCGGAAGTGCAAATTGGTACAACCCCTTTGGATGTCAGTGTGGCAATTTCTCAGAAAATTAGGAAACAACCTTCCTCAAGACCCAGTAATACCACTTTTGTGTATATATCCAAAGGATGCTTAATTGTGCCGCAAAGACATGTGCTCAGCTATGTTCATAACAGCATTGTTTGTCATAGCCAGAAACTAGAAACAACCTAAATGCCCTTCAACTGAAGAATGGATAAGGAAAGTGTGGTACATTTACACAATGTGGAGTACTACACAGCAGAAAAAAATAACGACATTGAAATTTTCAGGCAAATGGATGGATCTAGAAAACATATTGGGTGAGGTAACCCAGACCCAGAAAGACAAATATCATATGTACTCACTCTTAAGTGGCTTTAGGCATAAAGCAAAGAAAATCAGCCTACAATTCACAATCCTAAAGAATCTAGACAACAATGAAAACCCTAAGAGAGACATGCATGGATCTAATGTACATGGGAAATAGAAAAAGACAATTTCTTCTGAGTAAATTGGGAGCATGGGGACCATGGAAGAGGGTTGAAGGAAAGGGAAGAAGAAGGGAGGGGGCAGAGAAAAATGTATAGTTCAATAAAACCAATTTTAAAAAATATAAGATATTGGGGGATTAGGACAATTTTAATCTGGCCTATCAGATTACCGTTGTGTTAATATTAGTTGCTTTGAACACTCCTCCAAAGATGCCTTGAGGAAACCAGCCATAGAGAAGTCACTGTTTGCTGGTTCCCAGAACACAAACCCAGCTTCTGAAGGCACTGCCACACACAGTTGTTTCAAATAGCAAGAGGTTAATTTTTTTTGCCATCACCTGCCATTTCCACCCCGGCCAGAGCAGAGACTTCACTTGTTCTAGACCTCCTCTAGAACAAACTTGGTCCATTGGTACAGACACCCTTGGCACACACCCCTCTGACCTCTGGCTGTATAACTAGATGATCTTTTTGGTGTTGAAATTTTAGGGCTAATAAAGGACTTCTCTGGAGTGCTCTTTTCTTGCCTACTTTTGATCTTCATCTTTAGTAAAGCAGAGTCACAGAGTAACATGAAAGAGAAGATGATAGTCGAAAGAGCACAGAGACAGGCAGCTGTGACACTGGCAGTAATGATGACAAGCAGCTGAAGAGTTCCAGAGAGCTGCCAGGCCTTGGAGACCCAGTCTCAGACACATTTCTATTAATAACTGAGAATGACAAGACCCCAAATCAAGCTCCTGTAACCCTTGCTGTTGTAGGGCTGAAGGCCCCAGCACCCCGGGCTGAATGAAAGCCATGACAGTAGAAAACGCTACCTATGTAGTGTACTGCTGTCTGCCTCGACCACACATGACTTCAATGGCTCACAAGTGGGTGGCTATAGTACAAAACAACAAGCCTTCAACCTGAGTTCCGAGTGCCATAAGTCTCT